GCCGCAGACAATCTTTTATCCGTCGAGATGAGATGCTTTGCAATCCATACAACTTGTGATTCTTTGGAATCATACGCCAAGGGCTACGTTGAGTGAAATATAGCACATGAATGGAGCCACATCATGAACTATACTTTATTTGGTTATGAGTTTATTTGATTGAAAACTTTGAAACAGTACATTCAGTACATTCAGTACAACAGTACATACATACAACTTCAGTACATTTAAGGGATCTCTAAATGTACTAAAGTTTGGCTCATGGGAGAAGGACTGACAATGGAAAATATTTTAATAAACGTTTGAGTTTGTTGAGCCTTGACCAAGATATTAACCACACTTTATTCACTGCCAACGTTTCGGCGGACGCCTTCGTCAGAGCCTAGAAAGTCGAAGTCGAAAAATATTTTTGAGTAGATTTTACACATAAAAACAAAAAAAAGAGGTGAGGCTCGCCTGCCCTTCGGACAATCTGTGTACCCCTTTCAAAGGGGTGAAATTGTCCGAGGGCAGGCGAGCCTCACCTAAAAAAAAATCTACAGCACCTGAAAAAATAGTACTTCAATTTCATAAAAACTGTTACAAAGGAATAATACAACTATAAAATATACAGAACCAAATCTACCCTAAGCAATGCTGCAGCGATCCTCTTCTGCTACCATTGCGAGTCACTCCTTCGCGAGCCCGTCTTTTGGGGGGCGGCCTTTGGGCGCCAATGCGCAAATGCACGGGGCAGTGACTTTGCGCACTGGCGCCTGATCCCCCGTGCTAAGGGAAACTACCGCCACGCCCTCTCACGCCACCACCTCCTCCTCGGTCGAATGACGGTATTGGTGGCGATTTGCTGTAAAAGAAAAAGATGATTTTTGCCATGCAACGTTGGGATTCATTCCTACCTCCAACACTGTCCTGGACGCCTCGGGTGCCGCCGCTTCTCCTTGAGGCATTACCGCCTCTCGGGGCTCCGAACCCTTAGCAGCTCTCGGGTGCTAAGTCCGAGAAACTCCATCACAGCCCGCTTGTTAATGACAAAAATGTCATTTCGGAATTCCATTATACAGGTTAGCAGCCTCTTGCTATTCAACCCTCACAAAGTAAATGCCAAAAGAGTCCATCAATGCATCGTCAAATGCGAACTAAACCGGCCCGGCCGGTCTATCCCTCGGGAGGGCGTGGACGTCACATGACCACTCCGTTGCGGCTAGCACTATGACGTCACAGCGCTGGCTTCAATAGTTTAATTGACCAAGTGTAAGGTACCGTGACGTCACAGCATTGTTCGCTGTAATATTACCAAGTTTGAGGTAACTGACGTCACAGCAGAGCTGCCTCGCTGGTTTCACTACCCAAGTATGAGGTACCACCAGCGCTGCTTCGCTGGTTTATTACCCAAGTTTGAGGTGCCGTGACGTCACAGCGCTGCTTCGCTGGTTCTATTAACCCAGGTTTGAGGTGTCGTGACGTTACAGCTTTGCTTTGCTGGTCTCATTACCCAGATTTGCGGCATTTGAGTCGCCGTAAAGTAACGCTAGCCCTCTCAACCGGGTAAGATTTTTTCCGCCAATGCTACATCCGTTTCATGCAGACTTACCCCATCCGTACCGTACAGCTCCCAGCGCACCAACATGAATGCAAAAAACCTATGAAATCGAGCACTGTAACCGATAATTTTAGAAACAACAAACATCATGCCCATTTACCCATTACGCCGAGTTCCATTTAGCTCAAATTTTTCAAAAAATTGATAAAATTGATAAAAGCGATGAATAGCTCTAAAAACTAATAGAGTATTCGTAATCAGCGTGCTCACTTACCCTCCTGTATCAATTCCTAGCCCCATAGCTCGAACTTTACAAAAAATCGATAAAAAACGATAAAATAGATATCGATCTGACGACCCCCGCCCCGAAGTGTATGTGTGCCAAGTTTGGTCCAAATCGGTTTAGAAATAAAAATTTTTATTCCGCTCATACGTACAGACAAACTGACCAACAGACATTCAACTTTATATATAAAATGCTGATGAGCTGACTAAGAGATAGAGGTAGATAAACAGATTAAGGGAGCAGCAGATGAGATCCAACCCTTAGAGCCGCAGACGACCGATAGTGCCTGACTCCACTTGCTCTTCGGAAAAAAGCTTATAAGAGAGCATTCCCTGGAACAAAAACAACATTTAGAAACATTAGGATGATAGAAAGGACAAGCAGAACGCTTGGGATGAGAAGGAGGAACACAAGCGAAGAAAACGCGACGTTCTAGCCTGGCTAGGTGGACGCAACCCTACATTGATCGAAATTCCAGACGGGACAATCGACAGCGCTATGCGAGCCCTGTGCCAGCGGGCGCTGACTCGGCGCTGTCGCTGCGCTGGCATAGCTCTGGATAAAGCCCCAGTGTTTTTTAAAAGATGTGCTCGAACCGTTTGAAACGTTGAAAACATGTAAAAAGTGTCTAATAAAACGGATGTCCGAAAATAGTATTGCACAAATTTCCAGGTACTCGGAACTTTTTCTCAATAAACCTAACATGGTGCTGTACGCTAAAAGTTCTGTCGTAATCAGTAATGAAGAGCGGTGAGTGATCCGCTCTATACTGTATATTTGAGCTGAAGTATGCTCTACCAGAATGGTAGAATGGTAATTGGAGCTAAGCAAAAAACTTTGTGGTAACTTATTAGCAATTAAAAAGTGTGTACTTACTTTTGGGACACCCTTTATATATGAACTTCGTTTTACATTCGTATGATTCTAGTCATCATTCACCTAATTTAAATAAATCTCGTTTCCATTTTGTTGTATTTTATGTTGTTACTACATAGTCTCTTGTAGTGCCTATTGTTGTTGTTATTTATAGTTGTCTATTATTTTCCCATGCAAATCTTGTGTTCTAATTCTAGGTACGTGTATGGAGCAGTGGCGCACCCAGATTTCTGTTCGAGGGGGGGGGGGACGGGAGCGACAAAAAAATTTTTGTGGCGTCAGCCACGCAATCCAAAAAATTCTTGGTATCTTTCTAAGATTTTCGCGGGCTCGTAACTCCGAAATCTTAGAGAAAGGGGTGTGGTGTCAGCCACGTCCCTGAAAAAATCCTTATATTAGACCACCCCAAAAGTTATTTGCCTTTTTTCAAAGGGGCTCCACATTTGATGGAACAAACTTTTTTGAGAGATTTTGACAGCATTCGATGCAGCATTTCATCCTCTTTCTAACAAGTAGCTCCATTGGCGCCGAACCGTTAAACTGTTGGAAAATCAACAAATTCTGCGACCCACTTTATGAAATGGTAAAGTTTCACAACATTTCTAAGCATAACAATCCTCCGAAGGAGTCCAAATAACGGGTGGATAGAGCCCCTGCAGGATACAAAACAATTTTTGTCTCCTCCTTTCCGTAAGTCGTCATATTTTTTCGATAGAATTTTGATTGTTGCTACCAATCTCCGTAGCTAATCAACTTGAACCTTGTAGAACATCGAGCGCTGAGCAGCTCAGATGTCATTCGATGCAGCTTTTCTCTTCTTTGTAATGGATTTTTGTTTTCGCTTTGTGGAGTTTAGGGTAAAATCATGATAATTCATGTTTCGAACGCTCCCCAGGCTGTACCCGAAAAATTGGAAATAAATATTTCGATTCTAAAATAACTCTCATTTGTCAAATTAGTGTTAAAACATAAGTCCATCTTGGAAGTTTCAGTCCCGAAGATTTATTGGTGTTTGAGGCGTTTATGTCTGACGTAGGCACGCCGATTTGGTGGTTTTGTAAGAAAAGATTTTAAAATTGTGGCGAGATGGGGAAAGGAAAAAAGTTGTGCTGTTTCCCAAGGTTTGCTCTATCCACGTTACTTGGAATCCTTTGGAGGATTAATGTAAGAATCAAGAAATTGTGAAAATTGAGCTTCTCAAAAGGTGAATCGCAAATTTTGGTTGTTTTCCAAGAGGTCGTTTACTGTGCTGCAATGAAGCTACAACCATCAGAAAAAGGATACAGTCTGCCCCAATCCTAACCAGGCCAAAATTGGCATGGCGGGAGCCCGCGTCGCTTAGATTTTGCGTCACGTATGCGAACGGCAGCGTCCGGGCATTATGCCAAGTATCAATCAATACAGCCAAATTCAATCTCGTTGGAGTTCTTTTCGTGTTTTCGTCCATTTTCCTTGCTTTTTTCATCCGATTAACTGCTTGCAGGTATTTCTAAGTCAATCTAGGCATTGCACACTTGGATAGTGTTTGATCAAACAACATGGTTAGTTTTTTCGCGGCTGAGTTTGATTCTCATATCGCTTTTTTGCAGTTTCCCATCAAACAAGTGCATATTGACAAGCGACAAAAACTTGTAAGTCTTCGTTTGTTTCTTTGCATGTTGCTGAATCCCTATCTGTTTTCTGTCCTAGCTCCTTGTGCATGTAATGCAAGAAGATCAAATGAATGCCCCTTCACAAGTTTTTCTGTGATAGAGGTAAGTATGCTTTTATTTTTTTATTTTATTTTTTGTTTTTATTTCTTTTTTAACTTTGTTTTTTTTCAGGTCGATGCGGGAAACCTCTCAAGCTGTCCACTGCGCGAGCTACAGGTATGTCAGATTATATGTTCCCATACTGTAAAGCTGTTTTCAGAATATCTGTAGCGGTCACGGCCCTGATATACGAGCCACTGCGGCAAGACTTCGTCCCGGTCCGGTGAGTCACACTTATGACACCCAATACGAATGTCATTTATTATAAAACTTGTAGGTTCACCATATCATTCCTGACATTAAAAAGACAGCGGCCGACTTGCGTTTTAACACCGTAAGTAATATTTTCTATTCGATCAGTTTCATATTACATCACTTAAATTGTTGCAAAGTCAGCTTTTGACAATAATGTTACGTTCTCCTGAATTTCTGCAAAGATTGAAGACGTCCATTCATGTATATAGCCGTTGTATGTTTCTACATATGACTAACTATGGAAACTAATGTTTCTACTTATGACTAACTATGACTAACTACACGTGCAACTATGGAAAGATATTCATGTGGTGGAAGAGCAGCAGGCAAAAATAAAGGAAAGCGAGCAATAGTTGTTGGCGCCATAGCGGAAGACGGTGTAATACCAGAATGCACCAAGGTGGTGGTCAGCGGGATGCGAGATTTAGATGGAGACTACCACAAGGACATGAACTCGGATTTATTTGAGATGTGGTTGACTGAAGCTATCCCTCACATGATAAGGCGTGCAAATGGCAAGCGCGTTAGCTTAGTAGTGGATAACGCGCCTTATCACTCGAGACAACTAGAGAAGATACCAACAACTTCTTCCACAAAAAACCAGATACGAGAATATCTAGGCGCGCACGGAGTGACGGTTCCAGAAAATGCCACAAAGGCCGGTTTGTTGAAACAGGTAAGCTCTAATCAACTAAAAGGAAGCAGTAACCTTTTTCATTCAGCCTGAAGACTATGTGCAAATGCGAGGGGGATACTCTGCCGTACGCAGTTATGCTACGGGAAGAATTTGCGAGGAGTTCAATTTGATCAGCCCCCCCCCCCTTCCATTGCATTTTTAACCCAATTGAGTTGTGCTGAAACCAGATGCGGAAGGACAGCCGACAAAGTTGAGGTGGTACTGCATGACAAAAATTTCCCCTGAAAACTCCATGATTGTGACCAAAACACAAAGGACCATGCAACATGAAAGCATGTTCTAGGTGAAGGAACGGACGATACAATGGATGGCGACGGTTTCCACAGAACTGGCAGTCGGATGGTTCCGAGAGGCGATGTGGCATGAAAGCCAAGCGCGGGAGAAGGAGGCAATAGATATCTATCATCATCCTCGTCTATTGATATAGATAGCGAGTACGAAACCGATGACTCATATACATTATCATCCGATGAAAACTGACTTTCACGTAAATGTGATGATGTGTTCATATGATGTACTATACATGAAGTAATATGAAGAAGCCCATACGACCACTGTCTTACATAAACTTTTTATTGTGATTTAATTCAATGAAACAAAAAGTTAAACAACAATAAGTAAGGGTTGTTTCATACTGCAGTCGCTGCAGCAACGGCAGTCAATCGATCGATATGCTTTAAACGCTCCGATACGACTGCAGCTGCTGCAGCGACTGCAGTATGAAACAACTCTAAGATATGATACAAACCACTACAAAAACAAAATGATAGAAACAAACATAAATCCGTTTCGTTCCTACCCTTAGACGGAAACATATAAAATTTGCCCTCCCCGGAACTCATCAGTAAGGAGGGAGGGCAGTAAGAGTTGTTTCATACTGCAGTTGTGCAGCAGCTGCAGTCATCATATTGAGGCGGGCATAAGATATTGATCAATCGACAGTCGTTGCTGCAGCGACTGCAGTATGGAACAACCTCAAGCACACACTATGCAAGAGAAAGCCAAAAAAAAGTGTGCAAGAAGAAAAAAGTATGTAAAGCAAATCACAAAAGAGCCATACACTATACAAGAAAGCCGCGAAAACTATGCAAAAAAGAAAAAAAGTATGTAAACCAACCTGCAAATCACTGGAGATCCATTTCAGCAACAAATCACGGCCGAAGGATGCGTCACAACGCAATCACCCCATGAAAACCGCATGCTCTGGAAAATGATACTCAGCTAATGGTAAACGAGAATTTAGGATTTGTACGCAGCCAAACTCAGCAATCCACAAGACAAAGCCAAAAAGATAAACAGAATACAAGACAAGCAAAAAAAGCACGTAAATCGACTTTCGAATCACTGGAAAGACTTACAGCAATAAACCACATGACATACAGATGTCACACAAGCGTCACAGCGCAAACATCACAGCAATCATGGTATAACCGCATGCTCTGGAGAATGATACTCAGCCGACCGGGCGAATGAGAATTTACGATTTGTACGCAGCCAAATTAGAGCGTGATCGATAGCCGCATATGGAGTTAGATATGTATACAGGTAGGATTGTGAGGATTATGGCGAGCAAGAGAGTGATGCTTTGGCAAGCATCTAACATTAAAAATGAATGATGAAATCAGACGCACGTGATAAAAAAGCGAGAAACCATCAGAAACGGCAAAAATACGACATCGAGACCGACGAACGCGGTATTGATTGGCACCTGGCAAAATGCCCGGGGCCGCACTCGCAAGCGCAGCGCAAGCCCAACGCGCTGCGAGCGCGAAACCCCGCCCAAACGTATCGGCCTGGTCCGAATTGGGGCAGACTGTATGTTGCATTGAATGCTGCTAAGATCTCACAGACATCTTTGTGCCATCAAATGTGGCGCTCCTTAAAAAAAGCCAAATTTACCTTTGGAATGAGTTAATATGATTGAAATGAATTTTCAGAAGACTTTTTGGAGGATGGGCATGTCCTGCACTGAAAACTGCTGAACAAGAAGAAGACGGTCGACCATACTGTATGCAAGCCAACTGCAACCTCTCAAAGAGGTCATACCTCAGAAAAAGCCAAAAATACAGATTGAGTGAGTTTTTCTGCATGACGAAACACGAGATTGAAAAGCAGACAGGAATGTTACAGAAGGTCGTGCGCTATTGAGGAATACATTAATGATTGATTTTTAGTGAAAATCAATGATTTTGTTGGTTTATGAAGACGCTATAAACTGGAACCAGGGCTCGGCACAGGTGGCTTACCGGGGCAAGCTGGATATCGTTTTGGAATAAAAACCAAGGGGGATATCGTTTGAGCAGAAACCCCAGCTCCCCCCCCCCCCCCCACACACAGTCGCCTTTGCCCTTATGTCACCCACCTTCTATAGAAGACGCAAGTAGTCATTTCTGCTTTATCGGAATGCAAAAACCAAAAATTTCTTGTAACAACATGTACGCCGGTTAAGCGCGCGAATTCAAACCTGCCTCGAAATAAACAAAGGACTTGTTTACAGCAAAGAGAAAATGAAAGAACACTAAAATTGGTGTGTAGATAGGCAACAGGGAGTTGCAACTATGTGCAAAAATTGTGTAAAAATTATGTGAACCTGAAGGCGTGGCAAACATTTTTCAGAGTTAGGTGGCTTTCCAGCCACCTGGACAGCCACCTGAAGTGGCTGTTAAAAGAAAGAGTCATATATTTTTCTTCCTTCACATAATTTTCTCGCTTGTTTAACATAACCTTGTTCTACATCAGAAACCCTACAACTGAATCTTTGAATCTCCCTAAACCTCCACTTCCTCGCCTAGTTACAACCCTCCAAATATTTTGTATGGCGGCGGCAAGCCTGCTCCAAACGTTCAAAGGTGCCGGACACAGCATGCCGCCAATTCGGAGAAAGCGAACATCTTTATTTTTTCTCGTCTGTTCGAAGTTGCTTTTATGCTTTGTTCTATTATTTTCTCGTTATTCGTTGTGATCCATCTACGATCGCGTCATAGGTGATGTTGTATTTTTCTGCCGAAGTCTACAGGGAATTCGTTTTTGAAAAATTGAAAAAGTCACCTCATGCCAAGTTCTGTATGGAACGACCTAATATTATGTGATAATGTTTTGGCTAAGAAATGCATATTGTGTATGTTGCCAGAAAATTGTTCTATTTATCATTTCAGATCAACCATTTACCACTGCATAATGGTAATTAAAATTCTTGAATGTTCATTGTAACAATCCTTTACACAATCGAGGCGGATCTTGCAAATTTTGCCGCATAGGAAGAACGGCGTGGCAAGCCGTTTATTGAAGCGAGAAGCTATACGGGTAGCGGCATACTCTTTGATGGAGCAGATCTTTCAATTTCCTCCAAGGAATCTAGCTAATGAAAAAAGAAGCACAAGCAGCTACAAGGGTGATAAAGTGGAAACTTTGACTATATTTCCTGGCCAAGTTTCTAAGTTCTCAAGTTGAGATCGTTCGTGTACTCATACTGGTGCAACAGGTGCTCAATGAGTTCTGCTATTCGTGAGTGATAACAAGCTCTCGACCCATCGTGTCCGCTACTCCACAGCGGTGCATAACCGTAACTGCTGTGTTTTCATTTCACATTCTCCGACAGTTTGAAGGTTGATGAACAATGCGTCGTGAATGGAAGCGATAAGCGCAATGTAAATTCCATGATAGTTTGAGTAATTCATTTGAATTTAATCAAAGTACTCAGTAATTTACCCGTGATGGTAGCATGTGTTTTCAGAGACAATTCAAACACGGTATGGTTTCCTACAATGAGCCTTCGCTAGAGCATCAATGCGTATCTGTGTCAATCAGATTTGAGAGATTATGGCGTATCAAAACAAAATAGGTAAGGGTATCACAAGAATTATCCGTATCTCATACCTCAAATCCCAGAAAACCCTTTGATTGGTGCGGCATGAAATGTTTCCAAGTTGCAGACAGAAGTCAACTCGCCCTAGGACTGCTAGAAGATTTAGAACAGCGTCTTTGTTTTGCATATGTGAAAGCACCACATCCTCACTAATTTTATATTCCGAAACTTTTTTCAAATTTTTAAAAACTTGGCAATTTTGATACGCAACGACTACGTTGAAAAATCTGCAAGCTAGACAGACAATTCAAAGCCCGAGTCGAGAATGACTACAATAGGTCAAGTGGAGAAGACGAATGTCACCAACATAGCAAAAACGACAAAAATGGACTTTTCGCAGTCCCCCCCCCCCCCCCACTTCATGTGAACCGCCCTATAGTTGCTGTTTGTAATGAATTTTTTCCTTGGGATGCACATTTTACACCATACCATGCCCAGTTGTGTCAGAGCCTCCGAAGTGTTCATACGCAGACAGTCGAAGGGATACCTCCGGCGGGCATATGGCGCGAGTCTGCCACTTCGCGCTCCGGAGCCCTGCCATTTCACGCATTTTTGTGCTCCGGGGCTCTCCCAAAAGTGGCGCACCTCCGGGGCACAAAATGCGTGAAATGGCAGGGCTCCGGAGCGCGAAGTGGCAATCCTCCGCTGGGGAAACCCCGCGGTTCTGCCATTTCTGCTCCGGAGGTATGCCGTCGACTGTCTGAGTAGCTTTCAAGATTGATTTGTCGTTACTTTTCAAATCCTTCAGTCTGAAACGTGGTTAGAGCTCGCCAAAGATAGACTCCAAGCAAGCCAGAAATCGTTTTTGGGGCAAAAAGCAAAAGGGATATCGTGAAACATGCTATGCAGGCTTATGACCAAAACACAAACGGATACAGGCTTAAGAAACAAGCAACAGGGTGTCCCAGAAGTCTTTAAGCCTAGTATATTCTTAGCTGAAAATGTATCAAGCAACATGGCAAGAAATCTAGCAGGTATTTTGTAAAGAACATACAAAACAACATGGTACACTCAGATTTCGAAAAACCCTCATTTGGTCTTCAGACATGCGCTTAGACGCTTGCCGAACGCATGCACCGTGGCAGCCGGTTAGTTGACGTCAATTGTCTCACACCTATCAAAGCAAGCGATCCAGACTGTCTAAAATTTAGTGCAGAATAGAGCAAGCCTTGCTTTCCATGAGTGATCACAAAAAAGCCAAGGACTTTTGACTCGGCGATTGAAGGCACACTCTGAGAAGCGTATCTGTGAGATTTAACATAAGTGTCAAAATTTAGCAATCAAGTCCTTGAAAAAATCAAGAAAACAGCAATTACGCGATAATTCAGTAAAAAAAATACAGGGCTTACTGTTACAACTAGTGACTTGAGGTTGGCGAGATTATGATGGCATACTAGTGTGGGCACCCACACTAGGCAAACCCCCAAGCTTCGCCGCAAAAGGCTGCTTCTGGAGCGAGAAATCCGCCCCGGAAGTAGCAAAGTAGGCGTGGCGACCATGGTCGCCCCGCCCACTTGCATGCTTTATCTCGCCTGCGCTTGTTGCAGAGGGTTCTCGAAACA